TTCCTGAAGATAGTATACACCTTTCAATTCCTTATATAACCACCAAAAAGAAAGAAAAAATAATCTAGATTAACAAAGTGGCACTCTCTGTTGTTTGTGTCTTAATGATAATGATAGAAAACAGGAAGGAAATTATTCCTTCCTTGGATGTTTAAATCATCTAAAAGATCCTGTTCTCCTGGTGCACTGTGACTCCAGTAAAGATATATCCTTAGATTCAAGTGGTGTTTTGCTAATTTCCCTAGGTCCTTTGCTTTCTGATTTTTGTTTTATTTTCTTCCCTGACATTTCCTCGGCACCTGCTCCTGCTCCCTCTCCCTCTTTTTCTGCCTCTCCTTCTCCCTCTCCCTCTGTCAGTGTCCCTGTCCCCCTCCCTTTCTTTCCCTTTCCCTCTCTTCTAATTAGGCCACTTCTTTCTTCCTATCATTCTTGCTCTAAATATACTTGCTAAGTCCATCGCTGCTACTGCCTCTTTTCTATGTTATCTTTTTTTAGGCAAAATGCCAGTGCCATTTTTCTTGTGATTTGTGAACGTCTTTCTTTCCTGTCCCTGTCCAGGCCTCCTACCCCCTGACTAAGCTTTTCCTTTTTCATCTATTATCTAGTACATGCTCTGTTATATTTCTAGCCCTTAAAGTTCACAGAGCTCATGAGAAAAGAAAACTACAGCTATGGTAAAACAACAGAGGTTTGTCCAAAAACTACCCTTGGTTATTTGGAACTAGTTTCCTATGTTGTTTCTAAACAACAGCTTAATTGCTCATATGTGAGGTGGGGGGAAGAAATGCAAAAATCAAGTAAAAGCCCTGGAGAAAGCACTAGTAATATGTTTCTTCTTAAGTCTTAGGGTCACTCAATTGCCCCATGCCTGCATTCATATGATAAAACAAGACATATTTACATTTTCCCTTTTGCTTACTGGGAAGTTGAATAAAAATATTTCTGTTCACCCAATTACAATTAACTCTTAGTAGCAATAGGACAAAACACATGCCATCTTAAACAGCTAGTACTAAGTATAAGAAAAATACATTTAATTTGAAATTAATAGGATGTTCGCAGTCTTCTTCAAAACACTGAGAAAAGTAATGAAGTACCTCATGCCTGAACTCCTAGTGACACGTGCAGAATCTTATGGGGTAAAGAAACTCCTAGTGGACAATAATAGCCAGTTTAACTTTTTTATCTTTGACTCAATTCTTTGCTTAGATATGGGTTGATTTGAAATTCTTTAATTGTATTTTTTATTTTGTTTTTCTATAACATCCTTTTGTGTTTCTTTTTATGGCTGGATTAGTTACCTAAAAACATTTTCCTTACTCTGTAAGCACAAGGTACAAAGTGAATTGCCTCAGTACTGATCAGAATTTTTATTTTCCTTTCACAGATGAACAGGTTTTTACATGCTTTGAAAAAAGAATAAATATATTTAAAGTCTTAATATGGAAATTGATCATTACAAACATAATTAGAGCCTTGCCTTTCTCATTTTTTTACTCTACATGCATCTGCATTAGTCTATTCACCTGCTGACCCACTGAGAAAACAAAAATCTTTCTGATTATAACTGGAAACGATTTTTTTTAAATTCTATATTTGCAAATATATAATATTTTTATTTATATATATTATATTTACAATATAATAATTCAAAATAACCAAAAATGATAGCACTGGGAATGCCAAATTAAGTTCTCTGTATGCTATAACCAGAAGATATCAGTGCAGACACAGTAAATTGAGCTGAACTTATACAAAATCTTTTATACACCTGAATTAGCCTCATGGGAAAGAAGGGAAGCAGAAAATATATGGATGCTGAATAGATCATTAGGAAATTAAAGATGAACAGAATAGACAATAAAGAAGAAAAAACAAAAAGCAGAAGTACAGCTATTCAATTAACATTGATGTATAACTGCAGATATTATATTGATAGAAATTCATACTCTAAGAATCTACTAAAGAGAAATACTGCTGTGATAAGAGAAAAGGGAGCATTAACACTGACCAGATTTTGAACAGTTATATTTTGCCCTTTGAAGTTCTGTGAAAATTGCACTGTACCAGTAATATTTAATTGCAGCATAAAAATTAAACACCATTTACTTAATCTAAAATAGGGATAGTATGTAAATTAAGTAAGTTTCAATTCATATCTTCTTACTCACATCTGTTGGCAGTTTAAATAGTTTTAGTGTCATTAATTGTTATAAAAGTGCAAGAGTTGCTGTATGCTTGCCACTTAGGACCAAAGGCACAAAAGTCTAATTGAACTAAGTAATTAGTAATTTGTCATTTCTTATTGTCAGCAATTACTTTCCATTAGAAATCCTCACTGAAAATTCTAATTTGAAGTGAGGTTTGCAATTTATTGCTGTCCATCCAAATCAGTTTAAAATCAATAGCTACATTTTCATTTAAAAATGTAAAGATATTAAATATGCTTGAAGAAAGTGGAGCATACTCAGCTCCACACAAATGCACATGCATGTGTATGAGCACGTGCACATGCACACACATACACACACACACACACACTTAGCCAACACCAAAGGAGGTGCTTTTATTTCCCCAAAAGGGAGCTGAAGTGGAAATATCACATCATTGTTGCTTCTGTAACACTCCAGGCTTCTGGTTTTTAAATTTACACACAGACCCCTGCAGTGGCGTTCTCACCTGCACACAGACGAACAAGGAAACAGCACACTATTAGACTTCTTTCTGGAGTTTCAGCTCCCCTGGGATATATGGATGTTGGACGGTTTTCCATTTGTTCTTTCTTCATGTTTCACTAGCCAATCAACACTCCCTTTCCTAAGTTCTGAGCACCATATAAAGCAAAGGAGAAACTTTTATCAGCCCTCAAAAATAATACTAAGGAGGCAACTTATAATTAGCATGTGTCCACTGATGTACTTTAAATTAAGGGCAATTCAGTGAGTGAAGGTTATGCTTAGTTTCTTTCATAAATGTTGCAGACCTGTATATTTTCACTAGATATTCTTCCTCTATTAAAGCATAACATGTGTTTCCTTTAGAGTGCAGCCAGATTTCTTAAACAAATACTAGCTTTTCAATAGTCAAAATTTGAAATTTAGAAATGAATTTCGCATTTTTCTCTCTGCCCCGTAGTTAAAATCCCAAAGTGTACAGCAGATCTTTAAATAAAAGCCTTGAGTTAATATGTACATACACAAAGGCCCAGTATCTTAGGTGAGACAAACAAAGATCATTTGGGGAAAAGTATATTAATATATTTATTATGATCAAGCTGTCAATGTTCATAAAGAACAGATTTGATTTATTAACTTAGAGTTAGGATTGCATTAGAGGGCAAAAGACAATGAAATTTTACAATTATGTCTCTAATAATTCAATAACTAATAAGACTGGTATTGAATGCATATCTGTGTTAATTTAAATGATAAGGTTACTAATTTCTTTTTCCCTAAATTATGTACATGTTAAAATTGACTTGCAACACTGGGAATGATAATGAATTTCTCTTATTTTTAAAAATGACACTCTAATCATTAATCTTAATTTATATTCTTTCACAGAACAAATTTTCTACAGTTACTCATTTGGTAACTAACTAGATATATCACACATCTGTAACACTTAAGTGAACATTAATTAGTGCTAATTTACAATCAAATTCCAATGGAGAGCAAATTATTAATCTTTCTGGAACAACAAAAGTCTTCATGACTATTATTATGAAGAATGCCAGAACAACTTAATTATTTATGCTTATAAATAATGTTTCCCACAAATCTTCAAAATGCATAGAATACTCTAGAAAAAGGATGCTAGTCTCATTGTAATTTGGTTTTATGTAGTAATAATCCAGTTTACTTCGGTAACTGTCTTTTTTTTTCTTTTTTTCATTGCAGTAGAGAAAAAATTACCTGAAAATCAAATATAGAATTTTTACATTGGGCTTATTATTAGAGATGTTTTGAAATAGATTTAAGAAATTTTACTATACTTCTGTCAGATTTCACTACATGAATCTGATATTGTGCATAATATTCCACTATATATGAACCAAATATTAAATTATACATTTTCTTCCTTCCATGATTCATATTTCAAATATTTCTAAAACAGTATGCTTGCATAAGCCACAGACACAAACTCCTATTCAGCTCACTCTAAAATTGTTTATAATTGCAAATAAGGCACTGAAGAGGAGATAGAATTAAATTAAAAGTCCAATAAACACTGATCAATATGCTTGTAAATACCAAGTCCATAAAATAATCTTTCCTTTAAGTGTAGTTATGCCACAGGTACATGTTCCATATTTTGGAAGTTGACTGATCATTTTTAAATTTAGTTAAATCTGTCTCTAATAGAAACATGCCAGAAATATAGGAAGTCTGCCAGAGAGGATTTATTAAAAAAAGAAGAAAAAAAAAAGCAAACACCAGTCTGGATTCTCAAACTGCCGCTGTCTCCTGGTTTAGCATTAGCTCACAATCAGCTGAATAAAGAAGTCATCTCTGTCTAAGATTTAAAAAAATCACAAGCCTCAGTTACTTTACCACTAGGTGTCTGTCATTCAGAAAAATAATGGTTAATCAATGTCTAATCAATGAAGATGTGTAACATATTAGTTTACAGTCCTTCATCATCCTATTTTCTTGAATTGCCTGGGGGTTTGTGTTCAGTACTTACAGAATAGATTACAATTGAGAGTGATCATTCTGCACATGTTGAGAGCTGTCAGCTGTGCTTTCCATGAGGCCACTTAACTCTTGTTTCATATGAGATGCTAATATTTAGCTGCATCTGACAAACTATGTTCTAAGGTGGAACATTTTATGAGAAGTGCTTAAGTAACGAATTGTATCACTACATGTCACTTGATGAAATTAAACTTTTCCTGACTTCACAATAATCATAAGCATTACTGGCTTGCTGTGGAAAATTAAAGGGAAATAGCTGCCTGCTTGAGTCTGATCATGCCTGCAGGGAAGGTCTACTAAGAAAGGCAATTACCACTGACTCCTTTATAAATAACCACAGGAGCAGTGTGCAATGGCTGCAAACAGCAATCTCCTTGGTAGTGTATGCAGCCTGTTGTTTATATGGGTTGCCCTAAGGGACCTTGGAGACAGCACTTTGGGTAGATGTTCATATTTCTGATCTCATGGTGTCCCCTATCTAGGCTCCAAACAGGTATGCGGGGTGCCTTTGGGAAACCCCAGGGAACAGTGGCCAGGGTTCACATTGGCCAAGTCATCATGTCCATCCGCACCAAGCTGCAGAACAAGGAACATGTGATTGAGGCCCTACGCAGGGCCAAGTTCAAGTTCCCTGGCCGCCAGAAGATCCACATCTCAAAGAAGTGGGGCTTTACCAAATTTAATGCTGATGAATTTGAAGACATGGTGGCTGAGAAGCAGCTTATTCCTGATGGCTGTGGGGTCAAATATATACCCAATCGTGGTCCCCTGGACAAGTGGCGGGCCCTGCATTCATGAGGGCTTCCACTGTGCTATCCCCTTCTTAATCACACACAACACCAATTAATCCTGTATTGTATCCAAAAAAAAAAAAAAAAAAAAAAAAAAAAAAACCACAGGGGGTCAGGGGAAGGGAGGGGATTCTTCAATTTTCATCCTATTACAGGCTTGAGTACATCAGAGTAAAATGGTCCCCCTGGAGAAAAATTAAAGGAGATGTGCAAAACACTGGGTATGGAGGCATTTTGAAATAGGATTACATTGTCCAAAAGAACAGAGGCAAGGAAGATGTATATTCAATATTAAAGGATATATATGTATTTCTGAGTTGATGGGCTAATTGTATAAAAAATGAAGGAATAAGAAAGCATTAATTTATAATAATATTTTGATGCAGGAACATACTGTATTCAGATAAAAAAGCAATTTAGCTAACCTGATCTAAAAAACAATAGAAATCTCAGCTTTTAACTGAATCAAAAGTGTCAAACCAAAATAGTTTTGTGCTTGGAGAGAAAATAAGGAAAGACTGAGGATAAACTTGCTGGAGGTACCCAATTCCACAGAGATTTCCAATCCACAAAAATGCTAGAATTTCATCAAAATATACTTGATGGTGTTTTCCTCCTTTATACCCAACTTGTTAAGGAGAAATAGTTCATACATTTATATCCTGAGGAGTTTCAGCAAATTTCACTAGATTATTTCTAATACATATTTCTAGTAACAATTAGAGTATTTCAAATGATAAGAAAACATTATGCATTTATAAAGGATCAGTCTCCAGGAGAGGCATAAATGTAAGTGCTAGCTCATGTAGAATAAGATCATGATCAAGAAAATACTTGGTCAACATTTCATAGAATTTTCTTTTTTTTTAGTTTCCATCACTCACATTACTCAGACTGTGGAAAAGGCGGTTAGCTGGATGTCTTATAAGTTGGGCTCACCTATCTGTGCACAAATATTCATAGTCTTCTTAAATGACACTTTTACCATCTGTGGTACTGAAATCAAGCACATACTCTAAAAAAGGCAAACCAACAAAGAGGTATGTAAAAGATCTTCACCTACCTCTGCACAGCGACCAGGGCAGGTGAGATCACCCGACGGACATTTGTACTTTAATATGACAGCTGTGATAGTGATGAAGAGTTAGTGGATTTTTATGGACATCAACTTGATGATCATAGACTTTGTTATTTTTATTATTTTTAAGGAGATTGGTGCTGCATGAATATGAAGGCGTATATTCACAGAATTTCTTAGATTTATAGGTTACAGGCGCTACAAAGCCTTCTCTCCTTTCTGAGGTAGATAAATTGAGTTCCATGCAGTTTACTATGTAGGGGTCTTTCAAATGAGACCACACAATCACAAATCCTTCCTCTCCTGTGTGGACATTAAAGATCCAATAGCAGTTTTCATAAGAGTAGGGGCTTGTCACCATGCCACTGTGCAAATTCCTAGGAACTACCTTAAAGTTCAACAGCTAGCTTTTCTCCACAGGATATTAGTGTATTAGATACCCTGAAAAAGTTCATTATATTTACTCAATTTATTAAAAATGTTCTCCTAATGGTTCTGAAATATCTTTTTCCAAAGCAAAAAAATAAAGAACCAAAGGTCTCCTTAGGTAAAGTGACAGTAATGTTTGTTACATGAAATAAAACTTCCTTCCAAAACATTTGATTAGTCTCTTTGAACACAAATGCCTATGGTATTAATTTACTTAAAAAATAAAAACAAACACAGTATGTAATAAAAAAAATCTTATAATCCATGATCCAAGTTTTCTGATACAGGTAATGTAAAATAAATGATATAATCTACAAAACAATGACAAATGAAAGACTTGGAAAAGGTTATGGTTTGACAAGGTATCATTTTTGAAATCTGGACACCAATCAAATTGATGTAGCTATTGGTGATGCAACACTCTCTGACACTAAAGTCTTTACCAAAACATATAGAAGAGCCCATTGTGATTGCTTAATGTCAGCTTTTGTTCATAAGCTCTTTCATAAAACTGAAACCAGGAAAATGATTTAAAGCAGTTCAATTTGTCTATTTACCTTAATCTTTAACTATTCCCATATGTCTGGCTACATGATGTATGACTCTTCATAAACCAATTTTTCAAAGATATACACGACAGAAAAAAGTCAGGCTCCTAACCTTTTATGTGCTGAACTTTTATGGAGCTCTGGAAAACAAAATGCTTTTAGGTTTCATAAAAGGGGAACAAAAACGACGAAAGGTTATTTTCTTTTCCATTCTTTTTAGTAAATATTTTCATCAGTGAAGATAGCGTATGCACTAATTTCTAGGCATATGAAAAGTCCTTTCAGAGGTTCCTCCCAAACATCATGATAAAGATTTTTGCTTAGAAATATACAAAGTTATTTTTAAAAATTGAAGATTCATAAATTCACATCATTGAGTTCCCACAGATTCTACAGTTGAGGAAGGAATATTGTGCTAGGTATAATACCACTCAGCAAGGATATTTAGAGAATAAGAAATGCAGATTAGGGATTCCTTGACATGAGGAGTCTGAAGATTTAGAATACATAACTTCAATCACAGAAAAAAAAAAACAGTACTCAGAAAATTTATTCAAATATTTATATTTGAAATAGAAAGTTCT